CAACATTCGTCAGATATCACTGACATATTAGCTATATGCGCCGGGTTATCTTTTTGTCCGGGGTTCTCATTACCTTCTCTTTCCTCTTGTTCTCCAAAACAATCGAAATTAATGGATCATATTTCACTCCTAGTCTACGTTGACCTGCAGATGGGGCGTATATGTACGCATCCACGCCACCTAAGCGTGAGATTCGTGTCGTCTTTCAGCCACCCAAATCGGTTCTGCCTGTCAGATGCCTTTACCCAGAAAGAGCGTTCTCCAAGAAACGGTGGGATTTAAATAATTCGCATTGCATTCACATATTTGATTAATAACACAACTGGTACATCGATCTGAAAAAGTGCATGCTATTTTAAAGCTGCCCGCTGGTTTGGACGGATCAACACGTGCTTCATGTGGTCCCAACCCCGCTTCAGGCACTGCACCGCCCGACCCTTCAGTTCTAACATGACGGTTTGGCTCGTCTCCGACTTCAGAAGCTTTGCGGTCATTCGTATACAGATTTTATGGCCAGCATAATTTCGGACTCTAGGAGTACATTTTTGCGTCGAATACCGCTCTCCACAAAAAGAAAGCTGAGGTAAGGATGTAATAACGGAGCCGGGGAGGGCATGACCCCCTGCTTTTGAGAATGTCTTGTATTAACCCTATAACGATGCATGGAAGGAATCGACTTTAAGATTGGCAATGCCGCCCCTCCCCCTTCCCCAGTTTCCTGAGGCTTTTCTACCCTTAGTTGGGGAGGGGCGGGGCTTAGATCGAGAGAATGGGCAGGTTAGTTGTTCTGCTCCTTCAATGACGTAATTTTGGTGCAAACCTCTCTCTGATCCATTGTCTCGTCTCCTTCGCCGTGCGTGACGTCATATCATATCCTCCGTCGTGTGTGACGTCATATCATCTGGCTGAAGCCACCGGCGTGACAGGTCTTTACCTCAGATTATTTCAAAAGCCACCCAGGACCCCTCAAGGACGGCCAGGTACCGCCCGGCCGTCACGGTCACTGCAGCGTCTCGG